CATATTTTTTCCTAGGATCTTTATTTTTAATAACAATAACTGAACTCCCACATATTCAATTATTCCTGGCAACTCCGTGACACTTTAACAGTTGTTAAAGAGGCAACATCAAATTCTTCATGCTCTGGGTATTGCAAAACTAAATCAATCCTTTACACCTATAGAAATAAGACTAATTTTAAAAAAACCCGACAAAAATCACAAGAAAAGGTAATGATTGTCTTCTTCTTGCATTCCTGCTGAGCCTTCACACTTGAATTCATTGCCAGTAGCCTTTTCCATATAATAAAAAATGTGTATCCATCTGATTGTCAGTTTAAAGACTTTCTTCCTATTTGGACCTGATCTAGATAGACCATAAACCAGTCAAGGAAGCTCTAGATGTCAAAGTGGTGTTTGCTTTTCAAATTAGTCAACCGGTCAACCAGTGTCCAAATGACAGGATCAACTAATGATGAGGATTTGTTCGGAGAAAAGTAATCTGTTTACTTTGTGCAACTCCTCTTGAGTGCAAGTTTCTATAGCAAAGCCATGAATAACACACAGAGATTTTTCTGTAAAAATTCTCAAGCAATTTTCTTTATTTGTTGGAAACATGGAATCTGATGCTTGCAATTACTATAGAACCAAGAACAACTCTTACATTAGCACCAAAGAGGAGGAAAGGTACAATACCAAACACACACAATAGTGCTGTAACAGTCTGGATACTGAAATGCAGAAATATGTCTTGACATAATGACCGTAACTAGCACATGTACACCCTGGCATATGAACTGGCCCTAAGCTAGAATGAAAATATTATATTCTTTATGCCTACAATTTTATAGATCACAAGCCTTGAAAACACTTCACTTTAAGCAAATAGAGGTTAAATGTGAAGGGAAAAGTTTGTGTTTTGGTTTGAAGAAACATCTTATATTCCTAGCAAATCCAATCCAGATATTTTAAGTCAATTTTAGAAGAAATAATCTTGTTTGGTATATTGCATACATGGTATTATAGTACTGTTTTTTCAGATATGCATAAGAACATAGTACATTTTCCTCTTATGGAATTATGGGCCTGCTCCAGAGCCCAATGAAATCAATGGGACTCTTTCCATTTGGAGTGGAGTCTTTGGATCAGGTCCTACGTTACATGGGTTCATCCAAAGAATAGGCTCCCCCAGAACTGTGGTAGAACTTTACTCATTCAAAAATAGGCTCAATTCAGAAAGTATTTTTCATTTGTAGAGTTGTAATGAATTATCTTCTGGCTGGTTATCACTTCTTAAATTTAGACACATACTTCCAGTGACCAAGATAGAATACTTGTAATTTTTATTATGTCCAGCTAAGTATCTAGTATTTGTCATGTACCCCAATACCTTTTTATGCGAGTGCCAATTATGAAATACTATTTTGCAATAACTTTGGAAAACTAGTAGCTATCACTGGAACCATTCCTTGAAATTAGAAAGACAATAATTAGTATAATTTATTTATCTTTCTCCAAATAAATATTATATCTTCTATGATCCAGCCAAATATCTGAAGAATGAGACAGCAACATTTTAGGCAAACATTGAGGGTTTTTTTTTAATTTAGAAAATAGTTCACAATATAGTCTGACCTCTAAAGTGCCTGGAATCTTCACCCCTCTCCCCATACCATACCGCTGCCATTTGAGATCGGGAATAATGCTGATCTGCCTTAGAATAAAAAGTGACCAGGTATTCTCTGTAAGGGTCTCTTTCCTTTGCAAAATTCTCTCCTCAACCTGTTCTAAAAGAGCCCAAATAGAGTGACAGGCACACACAAAAAGTCCATCTGTTTCAGTGGGCATTTGTGGAAGACTGAGGCAGCAGTGGTGGGGGGGGGGGTTAAAGCCCTATTATAGGTCACATGACCGATCAGATGAGGTGTGGTAGGGTGGAGGGAAGAAGAAACACTGCTGCCTTGATTGATGTTTGGTTACTCCTGTGGTATCAGGTTTTTAAGTATATGTATGGCTTCCCAGAGCTTTTGATAGGCACCCACTGGTATGGAGTTTCTTCTGAACTAAAATCAAAATAGTTTATAAAGATCCAAAAGACAACCCACTCCCCTCTTTCACCAGCTAAATCTAGTAATATCCCTTGACTGAGCTATTGGTGATTATCCAATAATGAATAGGGGATATTCTGTCACTCACAGGAGTTCTGGCCAATCAATCAGCTTCTTCCCCTAGGCCATTATCATATACCTGAGGAGACAAAGTGGTGGACCAGCTGTGCTAGAAGAATAAAAAACACAAGTATTCTTTCTCTTGGGAGTTTTTCCTATGGGAAGGAAAGATCAGGTCCTAAAACATTTACAATCCTTCTTAGTAAAGTTGGGAAGATACCAAAATACTAGTGATTGAAGGTGATTTGGGGAAATTTCAACTATTTGTCTTGAAACTTAATGATTTTAACTACTGGATACCATTCTTTTAAGCCACTTCTACACAACTGAACAGCATTTTGGGGCAGGGCCTGTGACTATCCTTTGGACAATACTGCAATACAAACTCAATAATAATGACATCAGATAAATGGGTTAAAAATCATGGACATTCCAGGGCTTGTACTAACATACAGGAAAAAGTTAAATTCTGTCTACAGCATTGACTTTGAAGAATGGCCTGGCAACACACATAAATTGGAGCTGTCTATATGGTTTGGTTGCTGTTGCTTCTTTATGGTTCAGAAAGAGGCCCAAGAGGTTGCATCTCTCTGACCACAACCTCACTCATTCTCTGGTCAGTTAGTCTTCCTGAGTTGACAAGAATTGAATTTATAATGCAGAAAAGACAAAACACCTTTTTTAAAAAAATTGTTCAAACCTTCTTTTAAAATAAGCAAGGAATAGCACAAGCCTCATTCCCCCTGCGTATCACTTCTAACTGTTGATACTTGGGTATAGGGGTAATGTAAATGGGGACCATGACGTACAAAGAATGAGGCGGAGGAAGGAGGGAAATACTAACAAATTCTACAATTTATATGCAATGTAGTGAAACAGACTAGTCATGTAAAGATTCTGATTGGAGTGCTGCAACTTAGTTATTTACTGAACACACCCATCTGTTTGTATGCAGTTCTGACTTTGCACACTAAGGCCCAAATTCACAACCCTCATTTTGTCCTCCCCACCCCTTATAAAAATAAATCTAGAAGTGCAGAACATATTCTGTTCTCATAAGCTGTGTGCTTTATCTGTGTCTTTCTCTGCTGTACCTTCCTGTACCAAACCTAGCCTTTTCAAAGGCTTATACTAAAATGTATCATGTCAAGTGATTTCTTGTATTTAAAAGAAAAACCACCACTACAAGCACATAGTATTTCATGCTTCCGGTTGCTAGATTGTCTTATACAATAAAAGTTTTTAATTCTGCACTGCCAGTCATTTTGCTTCTTACCAGATATATCTGGCCAATAGTGTGAACTGAGCCTTTTGAATAAAAGGAGACTTACGGAGGAAAATTTAAAACATCCTTGATATACAGTCACATGCATAAAATTAGGTAGAAAACGTATTACTCCATACAAACCCTGGCCCTGAGCCTAGTTACTGTTTTCCAATTTAATGAGGCTGACACTAATCAGGAAGAGTGTTGCATTAATGGAAAACACTTTTTTTCACCTGTAGCCTCCTACTAGAGGAGAGTAGAGGGGCTTATAAATGAATTTCATGAGTACACAACACATTTTTAAATAAGTAAATTATAAACAAGAATTGTGAAAGTTCATAATTTTATCTAGTGCTATAGAACATTCCCCTAGCACTACAGAAAGTCCTTTCTTACTATTGAGGGTTTGATTTAAACCCTTTAAGCCTCGATGCAGAAGCTTGTGCAATGGTCTTACAGCAAGAAGGACTTAGAAAACATACCAGAGGGATAGACAGGTCTAAGTTAAATAGGTTCTGCTCTTTAAATTTGGGAAGATTCATCATCCTAACTTCTAAAATGGTTATGCCATATATTTTAAAGATGCCAAGTACATCATCTTTGCTTAAACGATAGAAGTACCTCACAGGCATTACCATTTGTGAAATAAGACATAAATCTTCACTTGAAGATCTAGAACCAGATATGCTGATTTATACCAAAACGCCATAAAAACCAATGTAGCCATGCTAGCTCTACCAACTGTGGATATGGCCCATAAAGTGGTGTTTGTCTACATAGCTGGAGAAAATGGCTTAGAGGCCCAAGCATTGATCATATTGTGAATTCAAGCTCATCACCTACATGTTTTCAAGATAAAACATTGTGCTACTGATCACCTTTAGGAGACTTATTACTTTTCCAGCAATAGAAGTTTACAGCACAAGCAACAAACCACAATCAACTTTCGAGGAGTCTTTTTTATTAAGATAAATCCAGCAAAATTCCTAACAGTGGGTACATACAACCAACCTGCCCTTTTAAAAGAAATGTTTGTATTTCATTTAAAAACATGATTACACTTTATTTTTTTCTCCAAAAGTGACAAAATAAAGTTACATTTGGGAAACAGATTTCCAGCTCCTAGGATTTTCATGAAAATATCTCACCTTCTTTATAAAAGCAACCCACAGAACCACTGGAATGTTTAACGCAGTTATTTGTTTTGAGACCTCCCCACTTTAAGAAACCATATAACACATACAAGGGTAAAATTAAAATCTGAAGTCTGTAAGCATGACTTACACAAAAAGGGACACACTGACAGAAGTCGAAAGCTACCACCACTTATTCTTTCCATGTACCATACAAACTATTACAATCACAAAATTTAAAAACAATGATTTTTTGTTTTGTTTTGTTAGGGATTTAATTCCCAAGTAACCGAGATGAAGATGTTCCATAATTAAATTCATGCTAAAAAAACCTGCATTTATAAAATAGTTGATAAAAATATTCCTCTCTGTTAACAATACAGCATGGAGGTATGGATACCAGATGATGGAGATATAGGGCAAGGTTAACATTACTCGGACTTGGCTTCCTTATCATCGGATGCTTCAGCAGCTGGTGCCTAAAAGTGTTTGGGAAGAACAGAAATGTTATGTTTTCACTCCAGCAAAGCCCCACTCTAACCCACCTGCTGAACAGGTTAGTTTGCAAAAAACTTACCTAACTAGAAAGGGATACAAAATTACTAAGGGAAATATAAACAGACTGGAACCTTGGTTGACAAATGTTACAAATTTTACAACAGGACTGATGCTGCAGCTAACACTGCAATATTAATGTAAATCCAAACAGGTGAAAATTTGGAATATTTTTGAGATTCACATCAACCATATGCTGGTGGCAGGATACAAAACCTCATTTCTATAGATCAGAAAGGAAATCTGAAATGTATATGTAAAACTGCAGTTATCTGCTTCCCTACTGTCCAACTTTTACAAATATAGTTCTTTCTACTGGTTTTTAAAAATGTTCTTACTACAGAACAAACTTAGCTAAAAACAGATTCCACCTGCCCCTTAAAAAAATACTCACAGCCTTTGAAAGACACTTCTGCACATACTGCTCCAATATTCACTTTTTATCATACAGGCTGTTGAGTCAAGAAGTCATTTTCTTTAAAGGTATTAAACAATACAAGGATGTTCAAGACTTGAAGAGAGACCTTTTTTAACTGAAAGCTTGGATACTAAAAGCAGCATGCTGGGAGAGAGGGGGAAGAGAGAGAGAAAAGAATCACCCACACATGATATCTTTTCCACATCCCTTCTTCTCCTCCACTCCCAGCCCAGAGTAAATTTCTGTATAGAAACAAACCTGACCCCACCTCTGCACGTGCAATAGGCTCTACAGAGTGGAACCAGCATGACAGGATTCAGAGGCTGCACAGAGTATGCATATACCCTGCACAAAGCCCAGCCCAGGGTGGGTGAGGGAACACATCAGGGGAGCTGCAGCTACCTAGGTCTTCTGGTTCTTCCCTGACCCAATGGGAGAAAGGAAAGCATGAGGCTACAGAGCAGATGTGTGTTTGAAGGAAAAGTTCTCTCATTGCTTCCAGAAAGAGGCCCCTATTGCTGTTATCCCTGCCAGCCCTTACCCAATTGATATCAATTAACTGAAAGGTAAGAGGAATCCTTTGTCTCTGCAGCTGCAATAAAAACAAAGCTGTTTGTGACTATGCTTTTCAATATATTCACTGCAGTTAAGGTACCTCATTAGTTTTGGTATCTCCATTTTCAGAGTGGTTTTCTTCTTTAGCATCATCTTGCTTAGTTTCATCTTTGCCTTTGGCTCCCTTCTTCCCCTTTGCTGCTGCTTTTTTGTCCTCCTTTTTATCATTTGCTGCCTTCTCTTTCTGTTAGAAGTAATCACATGAACAAAAATGCATGATAGATGCACACAAAACTGGAGATTGCATTAAAGCATCAATATTTTCAAGTCTAAAGTTTGTATAACTAACTACTACTTATTGGAAATACAATTAACAAAGGTGAGGTGCACCAGATGAAAATTTCTATCAAGAAATCCTTTATTCTCTATCCTGTCCTTGATATACTACTGGGAATGAATAATCTAGAGGAACAAGGTCAAAGGTAGTTATGTCTGGGGTTAAAGAAATTCCCATTTTAAACATACATTTTATTAAGTTAGCTAAAAGTGTTGATGAGCTTGCATTTTGGCAGTTGAGCTACCTGCCAAACGACATTAAAAGAAAGACTAATCTAAGAGCATGCACAGTCAATGGAAACACTAGAATTCTTCAGAGATGCTCTAAATATAAATTAGAAGAGTGAGAGAGAGGAAAGCTGAAGTCACCAAAGAATATTGCAAAAATATTCCTTGTTGTTCCAAGCAATATATATCATGTATGAGTTGTGCAAATTCAACTGTATCACTATAGATATAAAGAAAAAAAATTGAAATTAAAGTTTTAATGCATATTGCAATAATTGAAACTTTTTACACAGGAGTCACAATTAAATCAAAAGAAGGAAAAAAGCCCTCTGACACCATAACTCTGAAGTAACAGCCTTCTATACTTTTGGATCAAACCACCGCTTCACAACTCCCACCTACTTCAATTCCAGGGATTTGCACCTGAGTGCCAAAACTTCTGATTATACCAACCCTAACATCTTCTTCCACTCCAAAAGACAGAGGAACCATGAATACTTGGAAAATTACTGCTCATAAAATATCCTTTAAAAGATGATGTGGTCTCAGGGATTACAATTCATAAAAATGTACCTGTTTCTTACAGAGACTAAGTGAGTGAGGTAATGTCTTTTATTGGACCAATTACCTCACCCACCTTGTCTCTCTAATATACTGGGACTGACACAGCTACACCTATACCTATTTCTTCAACACTTTTAGCCTAGTAGTGTATAGCAATTATTTTATACTAACGTGACAAAACTCACTAAATGGGACCATTTGTATAAAGCCTCAAGAGACCTTCATAAAGGTTAATGGGCTAGAACATTTGCCCAGTACTAGTGGTGTGGAGGGTCCTCTTCAGGGTCTCTCTCCCTCCCACCACTTCCCAAACAAAGAAATGGTAGTGGTGATCTACCTTCAGAGCACCTTCCTTGTGGAGTCCCTTCCATAGGATTGGGGGTTGATGGTTGAAGAAGGGAATCCATTCCTGCCTCTCTCCCACGGGAAACTAATGGAATCTTATTAACTGTTCCACAGCCTTCTCTTTACTGGGAAAGCACCATCTTAAAAGAGGTTCCAGGAGCAGCCAATGACTCGGGATTTCTTGGTAGCACAAGCTCTTATGGAGTCATTCTGTCAGGGACACAGGATCTCTACACAAAAAGCCATGGCCTGCCACAGATTCCAGACATCAACGTCAATCCCTGGCTTCTGGGGACAAAACTACTGGCCATTCTGCAACATTGGTGTGTGATATATCTGTTCCCAGAACAGAATGATCCTGCACAAGGGAATCCTGATGGAATTTTTCGTTTCTAGGCCTTCTCCTGCAGCTCTTTCCATGGGAGGAGGGCCAATGTCATTTTAATAATTTTTCCTGAATGAATGGGAAGCCCAAAGATGGCAACATCAGGTGATTAATACATCATGTGATTTTTTTCAACCCTACTTTATTTAATAAGGATATATTTAAGAGGATGAAAGCTATTCTTATAATGATAAACAAAAAGCTGTTAAAAGAATGTTAAGGATGAAAATGTTAATGATGAAAAGTTAAAATTGGACAGTGCCGGAATTACAGTAGCCTCTGAAACCTACATTTCATCTCCTTGTGTGTACATATTGATAGCCTCGCCCAGCATCTCCTCAGAGTCTCTGAGAGAGCCACGAGTAGAACCCAGCTCCTCTGGGTCCAAGTCCAGAGCCTTACACACAAGAGAACATTCTCCTTTTCCTTGCAACCCACTACTTCATTCACTGTGCAATGAATGAGGCACTACTCTGGGCGAACAAATACTATGTGATCATTTAATTAGACTGCAACACGATGCTATGTACTTGGGGGGGGCCACACTACCTATGGACAGTCAACTTTAATTGTGATATTTCCTAACTGTTGAAGGATTAAGTTTGCACCTAACATTCTATTAACAGTTTTTTTATGTAGTTTCTTAAGTTTTTTAAAAAGCAAATTGAAAAAAACAAAGTGCATCACGAGGCACCACAGTGATTTCTGCATGAGTCAGCAGCAGCAGAGTCTGAACTCAGGACCTTTTGACCCACAAAACAGCTAAAAGGGAAACTCATGGTATCAGTAGGTTCTCGTCTTCTATGTAGATTCGCCACTATATGGAGCCAATACACACTTTGCTAGTGACTTGCGCATGTCTGTTTGTGAGACAGGAGAAGAATGCTCAGTCTCAAGCTTCTTAAGTTCTGTTACTGGCTCTGGATTGTGGTCTACTGGCTCAACTGTAGAACTAAGTATGTAGATTTGTAACCTTTGTTCTGAAAGGCACAGTACCTAAGTGGATGAGACTTGGGTCTGCCATATTCGAGACCTATGTTCTATTCCCAGCTGTCCCTGAAGTGACTTCGTGCAACCTTTCAGTTACTTCAAGTGTAAAATGGGGAGGGAGAATAATAGTTGCCTGTCCCTTAAGGTGTATGAGGCCTTGTTTAATAAGGGCTGTTAAGAATACATTATAAACATCAGAAAGTGGAAGCAGAACTCATGATCTCCTGGCTTTTATCCTAGCACTCCTTTGTATAGGGTAAAGGATATTTTGCAGTTGCTGCTTTGCTTGGGTATCCATTCAGAGCCACAAAGAGAGCTGTGAGTCACAGAGCATGCTCAGACTGTTGGATTTTTCAGATATTTTAACAGGAAGCCTCTAACTTGCTCTGCTGAGAATGTGCAAAAGGTGATGCTCAAAGGCCTATAATTTGGCCACATCTGGGTGAATTTTCAACAGGTCAACAAAAGACACTTCTTTGATCCCACAACTATCCCCTGCCAAATTTTGAGTTCCTGCTCTAAAGCACCAAGGAGCTTTAAAAAAAATGGTTGGAAATTTAATATTAAAAAAAAAATCAGGAAAAAATAGGTAGTTTTGCTAACTTCATTCTCAGAAAAGGTATTTTTTCTGAACATTAAAAAAATATATATCTAGCCTGAGGAGATAAAGCATAGAAAATTTTAATCCCAGTGGTTAAAGTCTGACAAATTAATACGCAACTGAAAACAGGGCCTTACTATGTACAGTGTAAAACACTTTCTTATAGGCATAGCTACCGGCACTGCCTACAATTATGGCTCTGTGGTCTCTATTCCACACATATTGTTAGGAGATTGATGCTTTGAATAGTCTCCCATGGCAAGCAGTGAAAGAATCATCACAATTTGTTTAAAATTTCTTCAGACAAATCACTCAAGAATTTACCATAGGGAATGTTCCTGCACTGGAAGTAGTGTGAAAAAGAACACTCACTAGCTCTTTGCCATCTGTAATTTCTAAGATACTGATAGAGATTCCTCTAACTGGGCAAAATACATAATCTCATTAAAAATATTAAAAAACTAATTGACTCGCTATGCGCATCATTCCTATAAATACATTTTGAAAAAGAAAACCGCTGTATTAAAGAGGTCTTAAATATTTACCTTAGGTGCTGCCTTTTTGGGCTTTGGCTCCGGTTTAGGTGGAGCAGGTTTCTGTACAAAAAGCATATTGTAAAATAAGAAATATACCACCTGAAGAGCACTACAATGGTCTTATTAACAACCTCAACATACTTACTCCGTATGCAAATTTAAAACATATTAAAAGCATAGATGCAGGGCCATATGCTCCCCTGTGTAAAGGACCAGAAAAGAATATGAACCATAATCATTTACAAGACTGAGATATATAAATTAGTATGTGTCATTTCACTCAGATACATGAGGAAAATGAAGTATGTGGCAGTGGTTATGACTAAAATATTTAATAAGTACATGTACTGTGTAGGGAGAGATGAGAGTCCTGCACTACTACACATGTGACAGCATCTTAAGTAAAGATCCACAGAATGTGGAAATGGACACTAAACTTTTCTGAAGTCTCTTGCTGTCTGAGATGATTTTTACCCCTATCCTTTGCAGAGGGTTCCTGGTATGCATAGGTATCTTCTGTTTTACCAAAATGAGGTGCAACTTTTCACCAATATGGCAGCATTCATTTTCTTTGTTTCCTGTTGTAATTTCCTTGGTAGCATAAATTGATCCCAATCCTTTGAGTGTTCTGCATGTGGAAGAAGACTCCCAGGCATAGAGCACTTACAGGACTGGGCTTATATAGTACTTTGGCTTTGCCCTGAACTTTCCTGTCTTCAAACGTAATGCCCTCTTTAGAATTTGCAGATCTTAGGCCTCCAATCTGCAGTTCTTGTTCCCAAGAGTTGTGCTGCTGAAATCAATGGGACTACACATGTGAGTAAGGATTGCAGGATCCAGCCATTCCTGAATATGATGGTTTTTATGTCAAACTAGCATAGTGGATTTATCTCACATGTAAAATCTGTGAGTAAGTTCTGTAAAATGTTGGTACACAAGCCATGGAAGCATGGACTATGAGTTTTATTTTTAAATGTAAGTGTGAACACATATCTACCTATACTCTTCTCATCACCATGAGATTCTTCCTACTCCAATCTTCCTGAATTGTCATCATCACGTACATCACAAATTCAATTTAAAAAAAAAGATACTCACTGCTGATAATCTAGCTGACCTTCTTTTTGGCTGCATAAAAGAAAGAGGTGTCACTAAAATTTAAAGAAAGAGCCATACATTCTCAGAATTATATCATCATCATCATAAAATAATTTGATGCAACCATTATTTAATGAAGCATTAAAACAAATACCAAGATCATTTACAGAGCTATGGATGTAATGGGTTTGCCTTTTTCCTAAAAAGCAAAATAGAAATGCCTATTTCTTTCACCATTTCCCCCCTTTTCACCAAACCCACGTAAATAATAAGGACCCAATACTGTAAGCTCCTATGCATAGTTAGATCTCTGTGCCTAAGAGAAGCAAGACTGTGGTCTAAGGACCACATTTAACCTGAAACTGATTATCTTTGGCTGTGGAACTCCAAATTCTCCTGTACCAGGAACAGCTTTCTCTAAATCTGTGCATGTTAGTTCACCGAAGCTTCCAGTTTCAGACAGCTTAACAGCTGGGACAGGCAGTGAATTCTCCAAAATGTCTCTCAAGTTATAGTCCAATCGACTGGACCCAGCGTTCCCTATCACGTGATATTTCATCCTTGACACCCAGAACCTGCATCAAAATCTGCTAGCACAGACCCATGTGACTGCTCACAGACAAGGTTCTGTGCAAACAGATACCTCTATTGGAGTGAGGGGCCTCAGTTAGTAGTTTCTTTTAAACCAGTGGTCTCCAATCTTTTTACACACAAGCTCACTTTTTGAATTTACGTGTAACCCAGGATCTACCCCACCTCTTCCGAGGCCCTGCCCTGCTCACTCCATCCCCCCTCCCTCCGTTGCTCGCTTTCCCCGACCCTCACTCACTTTCTCCGGGCTGAGGCAGGGGGTTGGGGTGAGGACTCTGGGCTGAGGGGTTCGGGGTGTTGGGGGAAGCTCCAGGCTAAGCCTGGGGGGCAGGGTGTTGGGGTGCAGGGGGGAATGAGGGGTGCAAGCTCCAGGAGGGGGCTCTGGGCTGGGGCAGAGTGTTGGGGTGCAGGAGAGGATACGGGGTGCTGGCTCCAGGAGGGGGCTCAGGGCTTGGGTGTAGGAGAAGTTCAGGGTGCAGGAGGGGGTACAGGGCACTGGCTGTGGGAGGGGGCTCAGGGCTGGGCTCCTGCCGGGCGGCTCCTGGTCAGCAGCGCAGCAGGGCTAAGGCGGGCTCCCTGCCTGCCCTGGACCCACGCCGCTCCCAGAAGTGGCCAGCACGCCCCTGTGGCCTGCTGGTGTGTGTGTGTGTGTGCGCGTGTCTGAGCGCTGCTCCTGCCTGCAGGCACTGCCTCGCAGCTCCCATTGGCCGCAGTTCCCTGTTCCCAGGCAATGGGAGCTGCAGGGGTGGTGCTTGCAGGCAGGAGCAGCATGCGGAGACACATTTCCCACCCGGGGCCGCAGGAGCGTGCTCATCACCTCTGGGAGTGGCGCAGAGCGAGGGCAGGCAGGGAGCCGCTGGACCTTTCGCAGCCGGAGATCGCGATCGACTGTCAGAGGCTCCAGGATCGACAAGCCAATTGTGATCTACTGGTTGGTGACCAGTGTTTTAAACTGTTTACCACCACACAAGTTCTGAGAGAAATAAGTTCATTTTATTAATATTTTATAAACCTACCTCCTCCTTCACCTCGCCTTCAGCTGCAGCCTGCATAAAAAAATTAAAAGAGCAAAATGTAAAAGGTTTGCATTCTTTACAGTCATGAAGGGGAAATTATGCCAAATGCTTGCAAACAGGCATTTGAGAATTATCATAGAGGTGACCAGAATAAGGAAGTCTGTGAAAATGGAATTAATGCTGGACCTATTTTCAGTGTGAGGTTGGAAAATACTACATGCCATTTTCTCTCAATAAGTCTACATGCAGCATGGGGAGACCTACTAAAAAAGTAATTTCAAATATATCACAGTCAATTTTATCTTCATGTCTTAGTTCACCAGTTAAAACAGCTCTCCTTGATTTCATATCCTTGCAGTTTCTCGTATTACCAGCTCTTCTCATTGCCCTTCTACCTTGCGCACTTTTTAGTCATACTATCCCCAGCAGTAAATAAAGTTTGCAAAGTGATCAAGCAAAAAATAATAATTGTGTAACTTCTGTTCCACTCCTCCCCCACATCCAACAGCTAAAAATGTGCAGCTGTGCTTTCAAGTCAGATCAGTGCAAGAGCCTAAGATCACTTCAAAGTTCCCAGATAAAAGACTACAACTCCCACAATGCCTCGGGCTCCCACTTTTGTTAAACGTCATTGCGTCAAAGCGTCCCCACATTTAAAAAGTTCCCGCCAAATTACCTGCAACAACAAGGTCGTTGTCAGCCCTATGCAAGGACAATGCTCTACTATCTATGCCCAGAGGCATCCCACTTACAGTAAGGGGAAGAGACAGCAGCAGCTGGATGGATGGGGACCTGCTTTAATGCCCTCAGGATTAGTGGGAGGAAGGGAGGCGTGTCACACATTGCAACACAGGCTACACCCAATTCCAGTACACCCGGAGAAATAAGAGCCCCCAGCAAGTGTATTTCTCAGAGGACAGGAAATGCCCGTGTCGTCACTTAATAGCAGAATGCCTTCAAAATGCAAACATGCAACACACATAAATGAAGGGGAGATGCTGAGATAACCAAGTGTTTGACCCTTAAAATGCACACACGGTCACAGCTACACTAGCGTCTGCTAGGCAGCACTATTTTAGATGTTGGAATTTTAGGGGCCCGGCTGCCCCTTTGCAAACAGCTCTGGGCTTGCTGAAAAGCAAGCTAGGAAAGACCAGCTGCTGAGCAGAGTCAAAGTTACTAATTCTGGTTGTGAATCCTTCCCAGCCCCTCTTCCCTTCAAGGACAGTTTCAAACTCTGCGCCGCCTAATGGCTCCAAATTACCATTGCACAACCATCTGGTATGACAAGAAGTGGGAGAGAAAAAAAAAGGGAGAACAAAGGCAAACGCAGGAGAAAGAGGCACCGTTTAGACTCAAATCCTCCCAGGCAATGGCCCAATCAACACTAAAATGCCCCCGGCGATTAATGGGAAGGTTCTGGCTGTCCAGCCATGCGCTTTTCGGGGCGCTTGGAGAAGCACAGCCTTCCGTGGCTAGCTCTGCCTGCCTGTATTCTCCATAGGGGCAGCAGCAGCACTATGGCTGTTTGTAATCCAGCATGGAGACACTGCTTAGCCTTCTCCTTGCAAACAAAACAGCCCAAAGTGAACTCAGACGCTCCCCTGCTCCCACAGATGAGCCCGACCGCACATTCTAATCATCGCCCTTCAGTTCCAGCTCCACTTTAGGACATGCACAAAAAAATTAATATGCAAAAACTCTACATACACACGCATAAATTATAGATATTTTTGTAAACGCTCCTCTAATCTCTCTCCTTCATTCCCCATTTCTCTCCCCCCCCCCTATTTTTTGTACTTACCTTTCTTTTGGGCATAGTTGCACCTTAATAGTTGATTGCAAAATAGATAAGAGATCTATTAAAAAACAAATGCAATCAGAAAACAAAAAACTGTTTCAACCGTTCTGCAAAATTGCCAAAAAAATTTTTATAAGGGACCAAGAGTTAATTGCAGCAGAAACTGAACAAAAAAAAAATCCCCCCCTCTTTATTGCAAACAGTAAAATACACCAACACGCAACCAAACTGCATGAATGGGGAGCGCGAGATGGGTCCAGCCTGAGAGTGACGCACCAGCTGGCCAATGGGAGACTCAGGCAAGAGCAAGGGAGGCGGGGCCGGAGCCTTAGCCCGAGAGAGACTCGCAGCGCACGCAAGGGGAAGCTGCTGGCTTTACGCTGTCTGCGCAGGGGAGCCGGCCTAAAGCGCTCGCTGAATAAG